CCTGCCGCGTACGGCGTTTTTTCTCAGCTTTGCTGGATACAACAAACAAGCCTCCTGCTGCCGGGGCTTGGGGATCGCCCAGCACGGGCAGAACACAAGGGCAAGGCAGCCGCCCCGTCCGGCTCCTGCTGTTTGACGTGCTTGGCAGCAAATTGGTATGCTTTCTGGAGCTCCCTTCCACAATGAAGTTAGAAGGACATCATCATCTTGCCAGGCTCCCTCCAGCCCCAAAGATCAATAACTAATGCTGAACTCCAGATTTTATCTGCACTTTGCAAGGGTAACAAAATAACACCACCCTCTTTTTTTTCTTTCCAATTACTAAATCCTTTCAAGATTGACCAGTAGTTTTCAGCTCCATGAAATTTTAGGCAGTGAAGAAAGTGATGAAAGTGATCCTCCAGAGCGTTTGGAGAACTCCTGTGTGTGGTTTTGCTCCCTGTACAGTACAGTACAGGGTACAGAAATAGAAGATTACCAACACTTTCTTTCTAAAAAGAAATGGCATCTTAACTAAGCTGACCCAGAGGTATTTGCCTTCTAAGTGCTAGTTCACTGCGTGCCCACTATCACAACTAAGTGGCCAAGCTAGAAGGAGAACCCTTGCAAGAAGACATGGCATCCCAGTGAAGCTAGGGATTATTTTACCTACAATACTCCAAAAATTAACCACTCCTTCAATTAAATACTCACAGATATTGTAGCCTGCCATTAATACAGCTAGACAGATAGGCATGAAATGCAATAGTTCTGAGTCTTATTTTCCTTAGAGAACATCCAGGAATAGTTGGACATTAAAAAAGAAAGACACCAGCAGAGGCAACAACATGGTATGCTTGATGACATTTTTAATATTATAAAAGTTATGGGCTTCATTGGCAAGGCATTAAGTTTTCTTTTGGGTGGGATTTTCAAGCCTTCCCAAGGTATTAATAAAACTGTTCAATGATGAGCAGCTTTTAGAATCCCTCTACTATGTCTTGTTAAATCTGTGCATCTCCACTAACTAATCTGTGTTGGCCCAGTGCCGCACATACAGGCCAGTTACACACTATCAGAATACACACACGAATAACACACACGTGCCAGAATTATGTCAACAAATATTCTCAATTTGCTTGCAAGGAAATTTATCTCGCCTCCTAGCAGTAGGGAGTGAATTGTAATACTTTTCCTTTCCCTTGCCTGCGTTGATTATTCACAGACTATCTACAGTAAACCACAACGGATATTTTATCTGCCATTTCTCTTTCCCTTGGCTAATTTGAAGATACAGATTGCAACCCGCAAGTGGTTTTAAGAATTGCCATTAACACTGTTGCTGCACAGTACTGCATTTTAAACATGTTTCCAACACAATCAGAATGTCACAATTTGTAAAATCTGGGGTGATTTTATAAACGATCAATGTAGCAGAACTCGCTTCATCACAACAGCCCACTAGCCAGTTTATCAGCCTGATTAGTGGTAGCTACCTCTACAGAGAAGGCAAAAATGTCTGAGAAGACTAGATAAATTCAAACGTGAAGATGAAGATGACTCTCTACCCTGCCTTTTACACTTGTTTCTTCCTTCCACCTGTATTTGGCAGAGGTAAAGACCCGGAGCTCAGACTTTCGTGTCCTTCTGGCAGCTGCTCCAGCCACAGCAGCGCAGCCCCTCACCACCAGCCTGGCTTCACCCGCTCGCAGGAATTTTGGCTAATCTCAGTGAGTAAGCAGCACTGTCCTTCACCCAGCAAAAGGGTAAGCCTGTTCCCTGGGATACAGCCTCACAAACAGAGCTGACCCTCCCGGGTGCCAGAGAACTCCTTTACTTGCCAGGAGCAGGGAGGGGGGCTGCAGCCCGCCCTGCCCCCTGGATGGCATAAGCAAGTGGGAGAGACCTGGGTCCGGAGCCTGACTCTGGTGGAGCATACAGGAGGTGCGGGTAACATCACCACCTAACAGCGCTTGGAGTTCGCTTTTGGTCCTTTTGGACTCTTTGTTCCTCCCCCCGTAGATCTCGTCTAGGAGCTTACACAAGGATGCTAATGCAAAGAGAAATGTTATGGCTCGCATGTAGAAAAAAACAGGCTATAAAAAAAATTAACCAATGAAATAAATTCACAGAATTCCTGGGGAAGAAAAGGAAGACCTGTTGCCTCTCGTCTTCAACACATATCATGGGGAAAAAGCCCTTTGTGGAAAAAACAAAAAGTTTCATGTCAGCTAAGGTGTCCCCTACATCTGCAGCCCTCAACTTCAGCAGTTATGGACGTTTTCTCCAAGTAAGATAGTGGAAAGATGCTTCTGAAAGAAGAATCCGTCCTCTGGGGCTTATCGCTCAGGTTCACACCTGCTAGCAGGGTTCCCCAGTGCGCTATTCCAGCTTCTCCTAAGAGCACAGAAAAGCTGAACCAGAGCTGTTAGAGCAGAGCTCAGCACTAGCAGAGCAAACACCAACACTTCCCGGTGCCTTCATGCCTTGGAAAGTGCTTACAGCAGCACAGTGCCACCGGTGGGGGACAGAGCAGGGATCACCTTGAGGTACACGGGGAAGAGACAAGCATCTTGCTTGCAGGAAGCAAAGGAAGGTCTAACACACCATTGCTCTATTTTTAATGTCCCTGCAGAGTCTCCTGCCTACCCTGGCAGTGGAGCCCAGTCCAGGCAGGCACAAGCCGTTGAAGAGATGACCAATGAGTTCGGTGGGCAGGAACAGAGCTCACTGCAGGCACAGCCAAGAGCCTCAGTGGGAACAAAACTCCAGGATTTGGGACATTTCAGCAAATGGAGACTTTCTCCCCGTCTCTGGAGCAGAGTCCTTATCTGGGGATGAGGCAGCCACTGGGGCCACCCAGCCCTGCCGATAAGCTGCAGTTGTGCTGCAGGACAGGCTGACGTCCCCCAGGACAAGCTGCCCACGTGGAGCCCACGTGGAGCCCCCTGTGCCTCCAGCCTCCTGCACCCTTGGAGAGGGACGGCGGAGACCTGCTCTGCGGGGTGACAGAGGCAGAGACAAGAAACCACAGGTCAGAGCCTTGCAATTCAGGCTGCAAAAGCCTCAAAAGGACATGGAGGTGAACACCAAGATGCACTGCCAGCCTATCTGATGCACACCACATAAACTTGCCAGGTTAAGAAACAGTTTGAGAAGAAAACAAGGAATACAAACAGAAGCAGGCAGAAGACTCCCTGAAACACATTCACAGGGGCCAAATCTGCTGAGTATGTGCCTTGCTGGGACCAGAGCCCCCCGGTACTCCTTGAGCCCAGCTGCCAGCAGACCACGTCAGAGCGGGGACGCGGGGCCCTTGTGCCCAGCACAAAAGCAGCACATAACACAGCTCCTAAATGCAACAAACAACGTGCCAAGATCCTGAATGGAGAAGGGTATTTATGACCTGTTTAAGGGTAGTTGCAAAGAGAAGGGTGGAAAATTCCCTGGATATAAAAGGAAGTTGTCAGGGCTTGAACTTTCCAAACTATGTAAGAGTTTTGAACACTTGGTTCCTGTTACAAAACTGATGGGCTGTTCACATGCCTTCCCTGCCTCTGAAGAGCTTATCTTTCCAAGCAAGTCTTTTGCTCGCTGCTGCTGAATTTTCCAGGGTACTACGATCCCTGACTTCAGAGAGGGATCAGTGCCTGGGAGAGAACTGCTGGAGGGAGGGAATGCCATCCTGGAGGTTTGCCTGACTCACCCAGCCATCCTCATGCACTAAGTTGCTTGTTAAGGAAAATATCAGAGCAGTGAATAATTCTGACAGCGCTGGGAGGTCAGGTCTTCTGACCCTGCCACAGAGATGAAGACGAGGCGAGGTGGCAGCGGCCGGGCACTCTGGGCTGCTCCCCTCTCCCATTCCCAGGGCTCCCATCGCTGCCTGGCCGGGCACAGGCTCCTTTACACCTTCTGGCAGCCTCCCTAAACAAACAGGCTACATACACCACTCCAAGTAGCTGACACATTCATGGCTGAGACAATAACCGTATCGGTCAAGCGAGCCCCCCCCCCAAAGATTAAACTAAAGTGGCTGGAGTGCGAAGGGCAAATGACAAACCATGGGGCTACACATCCACGCCGTTGCACCGGGGCCGAACCCACAAGCTGCGCTGGTTCTTCCTACGCTGCCTCCAAACACACGCCATGTTAAAGCAAGGAGACTGGTGGCATAAAATCAATCTCATTTGGAGGGAAAGGAAGAGGGTCTCGGAGCCTGCCCCCAGTGCAGTTCCTGGTGCCACTGTGAGAGCCCAGGTACGTTTTATCCCCACCCAGCTGAACTGAGCCGCTGCCAGGCTGCTCTCTGCCTGGAGCTCAGCGTCTCTGCTGCAGCGATAACGTGAACCACTCGCCGAGAGACAGAGGAGCATCATTTATTTTCACTGAAAGGAATGGCCATAACATTGAAAATAATCCTTAGCTCATTTTCACAGAACTGTACAAGCAATGATGAAGCCTTGTCTCTCTTGTGAAATATGTGGAGGGAAATTCCTCTTCTGGAGATCCTGTTTATTCTGAGCTACCATCACCAGAGGACGAGCAGTCCTCAGCTTCAAAACTCCAGCATGCTTGAAACCCCAGCGGAGGGGTTTAGCACCTTAATTTCCTGGTGTCTCAGCTTAACGGGCCTTATGCCCAACTTAATCTAATTCTAGCCACTTCGGTACAAACCCTCTGCTTCCCTGCAGCCTCACCACACACAGCTCCCTGGGCTTTACTATCCCCAGGGACGCCACGGAGCCTGACAATGGTCGTCCCAAAGATAAGTCATTAGACTGACCAGAAGAGTCACCTCTAATAAGAAAATCCATGTGACGTGTAGCATTACATGCCAAACAGCCCTTTCTCCACAACACCTGCAGGACAGAGGGAGCCGTCTCAAATACAGATGGCTTTGCTGACTTAGCACCACTGGATTTTGCCACTGGGTCATCATGTTGACACTGATTTTTGGCTGTGCTCACCATGCAGAAGCTGTCAGAAAATGTGATGTCTGAGCTCCCGTTCTCTCTTACCTCTATGCCTGTTGGTCGTCTTGTCAAACATAAGCATGGCGTCCTCTACCTGCAAGACAGAAGAGGGGAGATGCGTGCTTTAACACACCGGCTGCATGGTTCGCAAAAACACAACAGACAAACTGGGAAGGGGAGACAAAGGCAGGAGCAGCCTCAACTCGGGTACAAACGATGCATCAGATCTCCTTGCTTTTGCTCAGAGTCAGCTCTTCCTTTTGGAAATCTGCTGCTTTCAACCCCCGTCCTAACTGACATTTGATCCTAAAGCAGAAAAGCGAACATTAAAAGTTCCGTTGCCCTAAAAAGCCAAATAGCTAAGGAGCTCTTCCACCTCTTGTTGGTCCCTGTCTGTGCCTCATCTCAGCCTTTTTCCCTTTTGTAGGGAGATAAGGAAGGGCCAAGAGAGGAATCGTGGATGCAAATCAAGCCCATGACTTCTCAAAATTAGAGTCACTGTCTTGGCTGAGAATTAGGAGTTTTCAAGAAGTATGAGCAGGGTAAAATCTGGTCAGGCAAGAAAGGTATTCAGAGGTTTTCAAAAGGCCTTTTGAAAGCTAGAGGAAAGAGGGGAGAGGGAGGAGGGAGAAAGTTTAATTCGCATCAGGCTTGGCATTTCCACTTCAGAAGAGAAATGACTGATGAAACGTATTGAAGTGCAACCAACTTGCTTTCAACTTTCATTACTATTTGCATGATTTATTCCACCTCCATTTAATCTGTGCAGCCACACCTAAAATTTTACACTTATTTTAGAAGGATGTTGTGCTGGGGTTTATTTTTCAGCATTATCACATTTTAAACTGTTGCTCAGAGGCTGCAGGAGCTGGGGCAGGTTGGTCCTGCATGCTGCCAGAAACATCCCGGGCAATCTTTCTGAAAAGAAATTACGGACTTGCTATTCCCCGTTTTGAACTAGAGGCTGATGAAAACCTGTATCACCGCTAAATTGCAGACATTGGGGGAAGGGAGAAGATCTTTAAATAAAAGGTTTTATTCTTTAAAGGACTCCACTGGTTATCTGTGGGGGTCGGTTTTGGGGTTTTTTGTTTGTTTGTTTGGGGTTTTTCTTCCCCGGTAATTTTTATGATGCTTCCATGTTCTTATATTCTGGCTTTCTACAAATCATTTATTTTAAGGAAAGTGACTTACAATGCAGTTACATGCTCTCTTCACCTTACACAGTGCCACCAAAGGGTCTACCTTTCACCCCAACTGCCCGTGCCTGCTTTGTGCTGACCTCTTCCTTTCTGCCAACACGTTTGCACAGCAGATCAAGCCAGGGAACCGCTCCAGGTTAAAATGAACCGCACTTTCTCTCCAGGTTAGTTTTAAGCCAGATCAGTTTCCCGGCACGGCCGAACCAACGCTTGTGCTAACGCAAGGGATGGGCTGCTGCAGAGGGCAGAGAAGCAGCACCTTGTGGGAAGGTGGGACCACTTTCAGTAGCTGTGCCAGCTTCTGCTGCCTTAATGTGATCCTGGAATTACAGCAGGATTTGAAAGCTCCCGCCTGGATAAAATTCATGGTTCAGGGAGTATAGTTTGACTGTAGTCCTCTTACGCAGGGGAGCACACATCCAGCCTACTTCTGTGCAGAATTACAATGTCTTGGCTGGGCAGAGACATGTTTTGGGAAGGTGGTAAAAACAAAGCTTGAACCTCTCTTAACTACTGGACTGAAATATGTTCCAGGATACAGTAAAAAAAACACAGTGCAGCAAAACCTTACACTATGCCTAAACTAATCTAAAAACCTGTCTCGGGTTAACTTGTTCTCAACTTTTTCAGTCCCAGTGGTTTGCAAAACGTGTTAGCAATAGCCTGAGATGGAGGAGAACAGCATGCCTCCTTGATACCCATCTTGAATGAGACCTAAAGATGCTGATGTACTGAAAAATCCAAACCACATTAAGCAGAGAGCCATTTGTCCTGCTGTCTTTCTTTACTCCACGGAAGAAAACTCACAAGTATGGGTAATATCAGAAGGCAGATAAGGACAGAGCTCCCCTTCACCCTACCACCACCGCTTATCTCTGCTCCAGGGTTACGTTAGCACAGCAATCTTTATTTTTCATTCTCAGAGGTCTTGGCCTCACTGGAACCAAAAATTACATGTTGCACCTAATGCTGTTTCCTAGAGCATCACGGCTTCCTCCGCCTCAGTCCACGCAAGCGTGCTGACCACCCTTTTGTCCCCACGCCAGTCGCTGTTGCAGAAGTTTTAACATGCAACTCTTCCAGCATAACCTCTTTGCCTCAAATCCCATATTAGAGCCCAGAGAGTTCTTGGGCATGCTGCAGCACAGATCCCACCAGCCCAGGGAGGTCTTCCTCCCCGGACCCAGAGGCTGCTGCTGTGCGCAGGCTCTCCCGGCTGGATCCACACATTTCAAAATGACACCTCCTCCTGCAAGGACATGAATTACCAGGGACTTTCAAAAGGCTGTTTGTATTGCTTTTAGGGGGAGAAGAGACATAAGATGAGGCACAACACGACTCTAACCTCACTTTAGCATGGCCATGTCTCAGCCCGAAGTCTCCCAGCAGGCTGAAGCCTGAGCTGCTGGGTGCAAAACCCTCTCTTGGGCTCAGCTGTGGCTCGCAGCAGCACCACCACCGGTTTGAACCTCTCGTGCAGCCTCATCCTGCTCCTCCAGGTGCTGCCGTGGCAGAGGAGGGACAGGTCCTGGCATGGGACCAGGCACTGGAGAGAATAGGGGGCTCTGGGTCTAGTTCTTGGTCATACAGGGGATCTGCCGTTTTGGTTGCCTCTCCCACCCGTACAACATAACATGTCGTCTCACCCACCAGATAAAAGTCCTCTGGGCAAACAACGTTTTGTGCCATGTGTACTAAGGCCCTGCTTCGCTGGAATGATGATCTTGGCAGAGATCTTTTTTATGCAAATAAATCCTTATTAGCAGTAACAAATGCAGCCTGCATGGGCTAATCCAGGAGATTTCCATCGTGCTGGCTGGGACCCCGAGGAGCATGGATACCCTGGAGGTGGGCGCTTCATCCCTCCAAGCAGCGGTACCTACTTCTGGGATCAGAACCGGGTGCGCAGCTACCTACAAAAGGGTCAGCCCCACCAGTTCAAATCTGAAAACCTGCAAGCAGCTCTGCAGCCGAGTTTCAGATGTGGACCAAGCATGCCTTTAAGAAAAAATAATCAGTGGGGTGTTCTTTAAGCCAGCTGGTGCCCTTTTAACAATGTCTAATTGGTTATCTTTTCTGTTTCCTAAGGTCAGAACATTTTATCTCCGTCTCTGCCCTTTCTGAGTTTACCCCACCCTGCGTTATTTTTTAGGGCAGCCATTGTAACAGAAGAATAGCCTCTTTCCTCCATAGTCTGGTGACACAATGAGACTCCTTGAAACCTCCTGAATAGAAATAGTGCAATGGCAAAAGGAAAATTCTATTAACGCTTTGCAAAATAAAACATCTAAGAGCTGGTTAGACAAGCAAAAGAAGAAAATCAATATGGAGAGGGCAGCGCACTTAGAAAAACTTTTCACCGGTTGCAAAAAGGTGGCGAGGGTATGGGAGGGAGGGGGAGAAAGAAACTTATTAATTCAGAAAACCCATCAATGGTATGGAAATCTGGCAGAACAGCAAGAACTGAAACTAGAAGAATTTGAATATACAAAGGGCTGAATAGAATGAGAAAACCACACTGCCTCACACACACAGCCCATTTCTCACGGTTCTCTGTGAATCAAACACAAGCGGCTTGTTCAAGTTTTCACCAAGGAGAAATAAGGGACACAGTCAAGGTAACCGGCAGTAAACCCTTAGTAAGCAAATTGATCCCTATTTCAGGGGAAGGAAAAAAAAAACACAACCCACAGATGAAACTCAAGTAGATTCAGGAGCTGTGATTGTCCAAAAGTTAACCCCCCCTCCTCCAACCTGAGGTTCCCTTGCTGGCCCAATATTTTAAAGATGCTTGAACAGCATGTATTCCAGGTCTCAACTCAAAACATGCAACTAGCACCTTGCTTACAAAAGAGAAGAAAGTTTTCTCCAGGGTTAGAAATGGAACTGGAAGATGCAAATGCCACCTTCAAGACTTGGCTGGGGTACACCCAGGACTGATCACCTACCACGCACCGTCAGCTGAATCCTCTTATCAGCTATGAAAGTGGCCTCCTGTAAGCATGTTCTCTGGGCACGGCGAAAAACACCACACCAGTGAAGAGCTAAATTTCTCCAGTACAGGTGTGAGACGCTGAGCCACCAAGCAGAGAGCCACCTCCCCCCCAGCGCACTCAGAAAGCTCCTGGCAATCCAAAAATTTGTATCTGTTTTCAGAGGTAGTATGACTCAATATGGAGGCTTAAAGGAGCTGATTAATCTGAACTAATTATGGGCATCAAATGAGAGCGTATTACAAAATGAACACAGTCTTAGCACTTAAGGTAAAGAAAAAAATGAAGAAAAAAAGACTTGCCAGATAATACCAGTTGCAAATGGACACTTAAGTCCAACAGACTTCTCTGTCCCAGCATACCCCAATACATACATCCAATTTAGACCCAGTTTCTTAAATAAAGCCTAACTAATGGGCTTTAGTTTGTTTAACATTTTTTTTCAATCCACTTGGGGCTCTGAGAAAAGGAAGTGGTATACCACTTCTTTAATCACTGCCTGGAAGGAGGAATAGGGAAGAATAGGAGGAAAGAAAAAAAACCTGGAGGAACCAAAGGCTTTAATAATCCTAACAGTTCCCAGGGTTATTTAAAATATGCCCAACCAGTTCACAAAAGGCTCCACAGAGATAAATGTATTTGATTTTCTTCCACTTTAATGGAGGCATACATTTAAAGCAACAAAACCAGGGTGACCTAAATAAAATGACTATTAATTGTACTCAGAAAGTCTCTGAATTTAATGCAACTGATCTAGCCCGGTACAAGAACACACAATATTCTCCATTCTTTCCTCCCACTTTCCTCTTCAGGATTTTCAACTCCCCTCTTTTCCACGAGGCAGTCCTGAGCAGTCAGAGATGATCAAACCTGGTGCCAGCCCAGTGCCGCTCACACCT